AGCGACAAATGAGTGGCAAAAAGCTTGGGTTCCACTCAGATGAAACGAAGGAAGGCGATCGAATAACTTGATTCAGAGCCCCGCAGAAAGAGCAAATGTTCCTGACGAGATGCAGACGTTTGCAGAATTTCAGACGCATGAGTAACAGGAAGCTACTATAGTAACAAGAGCAACGCTACCAGTAACAAGTGCATTACGACTAGTAACAAGAAGCTACTAGTAAGAAAGTTGGTAGGACTCTAGGCCCAACGTTCATCACACACTTTGACATTGGGTTTTCAGTTAACTCAATTCCCCGAGAAAAGGAAAGGCTCAACGGCAAGGTGAAGCGTCCGATCACTTGAAGGTGTTTGAAAAAAGTGTTTCTCGTGATGCATGACTGTAGAAAATGAGTTACTGATTACTTAGCAGACCGAATTAACGCTGTGCATGGAAACCTGGTTTGGGGGACGTATCATGCAAACCACCATGAAAGCAAAAAAAGAGAGAGAGTAGAACAGCTTGGACAACAGTTGATCGCAGGTACGTTTGCACGCAGGTGGGGGGTGTCTTCGTTGGCCGGAGACCCCCCACCTGGCTCCGGCCCCCTGCGTGTAAAGACTCTTGGAAACAGAGTGTGACACACACACTCAGCCGCTTTGAGGCGCTCCGGCGAAAAAGTCTAAATAGGCACCTAAAAAGCTTTAGAAAAGAAAGACAGAAAAACAGAAAGAGCAGCGCTAAAAGGGCAGGAGAGAAAGATAGGTGTAGCAAAAGGTGAATACTTAGCCCTTGACTGGGGCAGGGAAACGAGCCTCAAGAACCACCTAAAAAAAGCCTGAAAGAAAGCCCAAGAAACGCCGAAAAACACAAAAAAAAGCGGGGGGCAGGGAGGGGGTGTATGTCCATGTGTGTCTGAATACTTAGCACTCTAGAGTTACCGATTACTTAGCAGAAACTAATTAGGTGCAAATAGTTAGGGAGCGGGACTTTAGTCTTAAACCGCCCGGGCAGAGTAAACTAGAACAGGGACAACAGAGGGAAAGGCACCGACACACAAGTGTGTCGAGTACCATTTCCCTCTGTTACCCTAATTAGGTGGGGAGTAGAGAACTCGGCGGAGGGGGTTTGTGTGAGCTCATTCTCGGCTTTGACTTTCCGTATACCCGGCGGTCGTAAAAACCGTGGTGCCCGGCGGCTTGGATTTTGGGAATACAGTGGTGAAACGAAGTCGGTTAAGATAATCCAACGTGTGCAGAAAGCAGCAAAATCCGTTAGTGATACTCCAGCATGAAACAGCGCCCCAGTGACGGGGATCACACCCTGCACCCAAGTGGGACGGCAGAGCGGCACACTTTGACATTGGGTTTTCAGTTAACTCAATTCCCCGAGAAAAGGAAAGGCTCAACGGCAAGGTGAAGCGTCCGATCACTTGAAGGTGTTTGAAAAAAGTGTTTCTCGTGATGCATGACTGCAGAAAATTCTATAGTTACTGATTACTTAACAGACCGAATTAACGCTGTGCATGGAAACCTGGTTTGGGGGGACGTATCATGCAAACCACCATGAAAGCAAAAAAAAGAGAGAGTAGAACAGCTTGGACAACAGTTGATCGCAGGCACGTTTGCACCCAGGTGGGGGGTGTCTTCGTTGGCCGGAGACCCCCCACCTGGCTCCGGCCCCCTGCGTGCAAAAACTCTAAGCAGAGTGTGACACACACACACACACCCATGGGCCTCATGGTCTTGGTTGGGGAGTCCAAATGAATTGGGAAGTGAAGATACTCCGAAGGTCCCATGTTTTTCAAGACCTAACATACAAAATCGAAGAACAGTTATTCTTCAGAATATCGAAGGACCAAGTGCTTGTCTTTTTGGGACGAACATGAAGTTCCACCAATCCCGCACTTCAATCAGTGCCGTGTTTGCCGGAAAACAGGCACAGTCATGTTTTTGTTGGTTCCTTCAATCTCCCACCAACAACTCAAAGTCAACAGAACAACCCTTCAGACCACACCACTATGTCCCCCAGCTAACTTCGTTGCATCGAACCGTTGCATGTCCCCCGGGCGCCCATGGTTCGGGGCCGCCACCCGAGCACCCCGTGAGGCGCTGCTGCTCTCCCGGGCAGACATCTTCGTTCGTTTGGTGGTCTCCCGGATGCGAGGATGGGGCGGAAGTGGTTTTACATCCCCCAGCGAGGATGCCAGAAGCGTTGCGAGGTTTGAGAGGTCCGAGGATGTTGGACGCTGAAGAGCATCCAAAGATATCCAAAGTTTTCTTCTTGACATCCAACGTCCAACATGATGCTGAAGAGGATGTTGACATCAGCAGAAACCTCTCACATCCCAAAAACTGGGCGCTGCCCATCCAAAGCTTTCGACGGCCATGGCTCCCAGAAGACCGACACTCTCCACCAAGTGGTAAAGGTTTTGGTCTTCAAGTTAAAGGTGATCTTTACAAAATGACATGACAACAATGGGATCAGCTGGGGTAGATCATCACATTTGTGCTGTATGGTATGGTTGAATATATATCATCATTTCATACATGTTCAATCATACCCGCCCAGCTTTAAAAGAAAAACACAGAAAGAGTTCTCACTGAGCGGAATTATACTCCGATTGAACATATTGTCCCGCTCTTTGAGGACATGTTTCGATCGCCCAGGACTGTGGTTTTATCCAGCGTCCGGGCAGCACCGGTTCGCACTGTCCACGCAGTCTCAACAGAAGGTTTCACTCATGCACCGGCACCGTCCGGTCTCGTGCATACCACCTGCAAATACACCACCGGTGGTATGTACCGTGCATACATGGGAGTCGTGAAGTCCTTTCAGAGTGCTACAGAAGTATCATACCTTTCGTGGTTTGAGTCCTTAGGTCTATTGATGTCTATTGTAGCGTTCTGGTCGCTGACCCCAGGTGGGCACCACCGGCTTTAGTGCGGCACCTCAGTGTCGGCGTTGGAAGCAGTGAAGAAGATCAGAGAAATGGATGACCCTCTTTTGTCTTTATTTAACACGAATGAGACTCGGCTCGAGAACTTACCAGCAGTGGGTCCGTTTTTCTACCGAACTCTCGAGGGGCGGTTCCGTGTAGTGCGATGGACTGGTTGGATGACCTTATTGGGCCTGCTCACGTGGGCACAAAAACGACCCAGGTTCTGAGGAAGTCCGAGGTGTCATCAGCGGGGGAACGCTGGCAAAGCCTCGCACACGGCCAGTTTTTTTGGGTCCGATCCCATTCTCCAGCCTCTGTGAATGATGTGGTCACCTTCTACAGTTGGTTGGTCACAGGCTTTTCAGATGGAGAAGTGTTCATCGAGTGTGGCAGCGAAGGAGGGGTCATTCCATGCTCAGGCTGGTCTTCAAATGGACCCATGGTTTCTAAGGACATCGTTTCGCTATGTGCAGGTTTGGGGGGCATTGACCTCGGAGCGCACCGAGTTGGATGGAGCACTAAGGTCATGAATGACATCAGTGAGCTGGCAACGTCAAGTCTGGCAGTGAACTTTAGTTCGGAGGCCAATGTCATTAAGGGAGACATCCATGAGGAGACAACAGTGAGGGCGATCCATGCATGTTGCTTCAAATCGCCAGTCACTATCGCCTCTGGTTTCCCTTGTCAGCCCTACTCTACATCGGGCAATCAGCGCGGCTTCGAGGACAGCAGGGCCCGGGTTCTGATCGCCATCTTGAGGTGCGGGTGGCTTGTCCAGTGCGAAGGCCTGATCCTAGAGTGCGTGGCAGGAGCTGGAGAGTGCAAGGAAGTCAGGACATTGCTCAAGAATTTCTGTTCGAAGCTTGGCATGCAATCGGTTGATGGCTTGATGAGACTGGAGCGATTGTGGCCCTGCAGGAGGTGTCGCTGGTGGTTCATTGGCACTCCGGCAGATTGGACGCCAGTTCGCTTTCGTGATCTGCCTCAAGGCAACTGGAAAAGGGTTAAGGACATCTTCCATGCCTGGCCAGTTTGGGACCCAGCAGATGAGCAAGACCTTGCCTGGGATGACATTGAATGTGCGAAGTTCCGAGACATTAAGTTTGGCAAGACAGATAGGCGTCTTCCATTGAATGGTGTTGCACCCACCGCACTGCACTCTCAGGGGGCGCATTTCCGGCCGTGCCCATGCGGCTGCAGGGCAAAGGGCTTCAGCGAGGAGCGATTGATCACTGGCGGATTGCATTGCATTGAGGTTCGATCAGGCCATGATGTGTCGGTGCCCCGCCACCCCCATCCAGCGGAGCTAGGCTATCTCCAAGGCATTGACCTCGGCTATCAATACCTCAAACCCGTGAAGGATCAACTATGCCTCGTCGGCCAGGTTGCATCACCTTTCCAGGCTGCTTGGGCGTGTTTGCTTGTTGACGAATCACGTCCGGATTCCAACCAGATTGACATCGAAGGGCAGATCCTCTTGTTCGCCCAGGACATCATCTCCCAGCGAGACGAGAAATGGGTGTATGATTGGCCTCATTCGTCTTTCGAGTGCAAGATTGAGTGTCTTCATGAACCTCCGATAGTATTCAGGGCAGCCAGTTCAGCCACAGTCCAGGACTTCATCCAAGCACAGCAAAGTCTCGCAAAGGCAAGCGAGGTGCATGTTTTTCGCCATGGACGCCCTAGTCTCCCAGAAGATTTGCTCCGGGCTGGTGAATTCTACTGCTCCATCCAGGAGGCTGAAACAACCAGTTATCAGATTGAGCTGTCTTTTTTGTGGTGTGGCCGCAGGGAGAAGGTAGTTTGCGCGGCAGGCACTTGCCTTTTCGAAGTTGTCCCGAAGATCACAGATGGTGAAGAATGTGCTGTTTTCCTCGAAGGAGCAGACACTCGCATTCCTTTCGATGCTCCACAATGGTCGAATGAGTGTTATGAAATTGCTTCATTAGTGCGGGGCCTGGGCCACAAGACAAGTTCGGTACTGCAGCAGCTCCTGAGATACCCGGACCTGCAAAGATGGTTCTCTGACCGGAGAGCGGACGGGACAGTCCACCCAGGCTTTGATGGAGGGCTTGATGATGTCACTATGATGTATGCCACAAGGGCATTGATTGAGATTGCGGGTGCCACGGATTTGCACTTTGTGTCACCTCGCACGACTGCTGCGTGGCTAGGCATGTCGGCCAACGAAGAGAGGGATCTTGTAGGCAATGAGATCGGGTACTTCGACGGCACCAGGATTCTTGCTCTTGTGGGCCAGGACAATCACTGGTCAGTGCTGGACTATACCATGCACGATGCTGGGGCCGAGGCTACATGTGTCGACGGCATCACCGACAGACTGCAAGCACAAGTCCAATCAGTTGCCAGCATTATCCATGGACACTTCGGCTTTGGACCGATCAGTCACGTCGCAGCTAGCTGTTACCATCAGGGCAAGGACAACACATGTGGGGCTGTTGCACTTCTCCACATCGGGTGGCGACTTGGATTGTGGCACAGCTTCGACCTGGATGACGTGAAGTCGTGGTACTCAGTTCTGCGATGGGGTGTTCCGTCGATCAACTTCCGGGGAGGAGGAGGAGGGAAGGATTCCAAGGCCGACCCACTTGAAGAGTGGCTCCGACCATTCTTAGAGGGCAAAGGTGTTCCAAAAGGATCAGGTCGCTTCCAGAATTCAAGCAGCCGTCAAGGCCTTGGCCAAGGAGAACATCGAGGATGCCATTCGTTCCAAGAACCCATGGGCTCAACTGAAGTCGATAGGCAATAGCAAATCTCGCCCATTTCTGTGGGTGCACTATGATGAGCTCCGCAATCACATTGAGGAGAAAGGCCGTGACCGTTGGGGAGCGGCAGTTGACGTTCCCAAACGAAAGGGAGTTGGAAAGGGCAAGCAAAAGGAGATCAAGCTTGAAGTTCTTTTGGATCCACTGAAACTGGTTCTAGTGCCCGGCATCTTCGAGGCAGCAGGCTCTGAGATGAAGCAGATTGACTTTGACCAGGTGCGATCGGGGGCCACTGGCATAGCTTTCTGCAAATTTGAAGAAGCGGTTCCATACATCGCCGATGGCAAGTCCATTAGCATTGGTCCTCTGTTGCTGCTGATCATAGGTGGCGAGCAGGTAGACGGAGACAGACTCAAGCCCATAGTGGTGCCAGCAAGGTACCATGGAACTGAGGAGCCAGTGCTTGTCAACTGCAGAGCTATGCAACTTGGGGACATTGAGATCAAAGAAAAAAATGGCCCAGCCCCTGAAGTCGGTGTGCTTCCCACCCGAGTTGTCAGGATCCAGATCTTCAAGGATGAGGTTGACGACTGGAAGAATGTCTCGAGCAGGCCACTTAGGCACCTTACAGAGACACTGGGGGCGCTGCAGCAATGCAGAGATGGGGGCTGTGATGGAAAGTGTGGCAAATTCCATCCAACGGTTGAAGAAAATGGAGCAGAATCAGCGATCATCGACCGCTGGGGCTGGCGATGGGCGAAGCTGGACGGGAGGAAGTGCTCGCAAGACGATTCGGAGGTGCTCTCAATTTTCTTGCGAATCCCCGAATCTATCTTCTCAGCCTTGATTGCCACATCAGGACAGGGCGGCATCTATGTGGAACCCAGACAAACAACTGGTGCAGGCTCTGACCCAGCCTATGCAGTGATCTGGCTTGGAGGCATGTCGGCCCCTCAAGTGCAGCATTTAGTCAGGACAGAGGAGCGCATTTCCTCGATCGCTCGCTTGGGATCAAGATATGGAGTCAGAACCTTGGAGCGCTACGCAGAGTCGGTGCACCAGAAGGTCAGCCCGAACAAGCCGTTCTTGAAGGGCAATGTCGTTTTTGTCTTCAGGATCGGACCAGTGCCCGCTGGCTCCCACAGACAAGGATTGCAGGACGCTTTCAAGCAACACGGCTGGGACATCAAGCCGCTGCACCCTGTCAATGGGGGCAATGGATGCGCATGGGAGGTTGGAGCAAGACAACATCCACCTGCTCCTGTCCTGAAGTTGTCATCAGGCTATGTGACTATCACATTGATCCGTTCGACTGATCAGCAAAAGGAGAAACCGAGCATCATTGCGAGCACCAAGACCATCCAGAAAATTAAGGCGGCAGCAGATCCGTCGAGTGCAGATGCTACATGGAGTACAGACACAAAGACAAGTGGGGATCCTTGGTCACAATGGCTGCGGCAAAGAGATGCTGGAGGAGGTGCCAGCTCGGGTTCATCCACAGAGCTTGCATCGAAGCTACAGTCAGTCGAGGAGAGAGTCCGCCAAGAAGTTTCATCTCAGTTGAAGGCAGACTTGCATTCCATAGTCAAGGACCGCGACGATGATATGGGGGAGCAAAGTGCAGCACAAGATGATCGCATCTCACAACTTGAGGCTGACATTCATGAATTGCAGCAACAGGGTGTCAGGGTTGAGCAATGGATGAAAAAGGCAGAGGAAAAGAGTGAGCTTCAGACTCGCCAATTCGATAGGGTCGAGCAACAGATTGCAGCACAGACTGATTTCAGCTCCAGACTTGCTCAATCGCTCGAATCATGCACCACACAGATTGGGAAGCAACATGACCAGATCACAGGAGTCACCGATGAGCTTCATGGTCTGAAGGGCAACCTCGAGCAAACTCTGGCGGGGTTCTTTAGCAAACAAACGGCACAGATCGAGAACATGTTGGCGCAGGGAGGCAAGACTCGGCGCTCCCGATCCAGGAGCGCCAGCAGAGTGCCAAATCTGTGACTAGGGCGCGGCGGGCCTTCTGTTGGCCGCAGAGGGAGGCCGCCTTTCATTCACAGGCCATTCGGTTGGTTGATTTTGGTGTGGACGTGCCTATGCCGCGTCGGTGAGGCTACAACGCCAGGTCCTCCGCAGCAGTCGGTTGAAACGGGGCTGTCTCTCTTGCCGAGCTCCTCTACCTCAGCGCGACCCATTGGGATCGCGAACAACGGTCGGAGGGACGGACCAGTTTCGGCTGAAGGCTGCATTGAGGCTGATGATTCAG